ACCAAGGGAAAATCAAACAAATTCTTAAGCAAATCATCTCTACTCTTGGTATGGTAGCGAAAAACCTTGTTTTTTTTGCAGACCCCCAGAAAAAATGAACAGAACCACAAAACAAAAAAAAACCAAAAGGGGAAACAACGAAAGAAACACACATGCCAAGAACAGCGAAGAAAATGGAAGTGAAGCCCCCCGGAAGAGCCCCACCGATGCCACAGACTGGCCTGGGCCGACGGCCCTTCCAGGGAGGTGTGGCTCAGAGCGCAGCGAAGCCTGCGGGAAAACAAACGCCTTCCCATGGCTATGAATTTTGATTGGGGACCCTTTGGTGGACTCCATTTAGAACGGAAATTTGTGTCCACCAACCCGTTTTTGAGGAAAATGTTCACTGAAACTCAGTGCCATGTGGGTGTTTCTCAAAATGCTGCAGGTTTTTCTGGTTGATACCAACCACTTCCGGGCACCATTTTGAGAAACCCTCATCGACGTAACACATTCGGGTGTGCGTTTTTGTTCCAGGTCGCCTTTGTGGGCTTTTTTAAGGAAAACCAAAAGGACTTTGGTTCATCGAAATCCCTGGCCACGGTCACAGTTTTCTTAGGAGTTGTCTGTTTTTTTGTTCTTTTTTCAGGCGCCCATGTCCATTACCTCCAAGTAACATGGCCTTCCGACATGCCAAGTGAGCCCCACGCCCCAAATCTGGGCCTCGGAGCCCCGAGTTGCGCCATGGTCAAAGGTAGCGCTCCATTTCTCCCGAATCACTGAAAGTCTATCCGACGTCAAACAGGTTTGGAGGACACACTACCAGGCCCCTTTTTTTTCAAGGGGGGTGGGGGCCTCTGCGGGGTCCTGATTTTGCAGGCAAAACTCATGTGAAGTGTTGTTGTATTCAGATTATGATATGTGTGTGTGGAGATATATGTAGATATATGTTGGTGTCATGTTAATGTGCAAGTTGGAAGTGACGATGTTGACATGTTGACAAACATCTATCTGAGCGACTTATGTAACACGCGCCGACTTGGTATAACCCAAAACTGAACGACGACCAGAACATCATGTCCAGCAAGTATCTGGGTGAACTGAGATTTTTCCAGGGAATCCGCAGGAAAGACACGTCTATCATGGTTTAGGTCGCAAACCACAACAGCAAAGGACAGGGGTGAGCACCTGAACTTGCAACGAATGCGTTCCGTCCCTTGGCCCCAATCTGCCGAGATGCCAGGGAGGTGTCTCGTCATCCGCAAATGGATCGTCCGTCTCCTGGCCTGCACATTGAACCGAGACTCTCCAATGACAGAACTCCGCTGGAGGGGACACAAATGTCACTCCACAACAATTTGGGTGGGGGGTCCGGAGGAATCAATCACTTCTGCCCTTGCACCTTGGCCCTTTGGGGAACATTAATTATGCATACGCCATTTAGCTCTCGGCCCCTGCGCAAAAGAATCCGCAACCCGTGCCCTGCCCAAACAAGCCAAACAGCTGGACAAGCAACAGTCAAGGTAGAATGCCGTCACCTAGGTCCTCCAGTAGAGAGTTTAGAATAAGGGTACTCTTTTTCTGTAGTCTATTTTAGTAGGGGAACCCTCCCCAAGAAAGGGTAAAAGGGCACTACTGGGGGACCTAGCGTCTGCTGTGCACAATGAACATCGTGCAGTACGAGCTTGTCAAGGTACAATGTGGCGGCAGCATGCGACAGCCAAGCAATGGCATCAATCCTATTCTGGTCTCGCACCGAAGCTCGATAAGTAGTGCCCGCATACTCATTTTACGCGCTGCGATGAATCTGAAGCTGGTGCATTCCTCCAAACAAAGATTGGTGGCGTCCACTTCCGTTCGCCCATTTGTCCCACATGATGCCTTCCTCCCACATGGCTTGCTCATTGAAAGACACCTCCACTGGTTGTGTCCTGCTCAATTGGGAGTTGTCGGACCGTGTTGGCTTCTGGCTTTTGCCGTACATGTCAGCTTTCCAATCTGGCCCCATACGCTTCTTCAAAAACAAGCTGTGTCGTCTTGCCCTTTCAAGTGATCCATTTAAGCCCAGGGGAATCCCCTCTACCATAAGGGGGAGGGGGGTGGGTGGTCCCCAATTCCAGTTCTCTAATCTTCCCCTTACAAAGGAAATGGAACCATAAATGGAATTTCAGCGGTCCCCCCCCCTCCCCCAATTGCACAATTAAGGTGGGGATCCAGGGGAGACGTAGTGATCCCGTTGAACAAAGGTAAGCCTGCGATCTTCTTGCTCTCGGCTGGGCCCGCCGGCGCCGCTGCTTGATGAGATCCGCCCGGCCATTGATGATCGACTTGGGCCTGGCAAAGGATCTCCCGAACCCTGGGCATAGCAAAGGAAACGGGTTTTGCACCAAGCTGGAAATTTAAAATAAGCCAACATGCAGAATTTATTCGCTTGCACCCACGCTCCTCTCGCACGGAGCATGATCTCAGGTTCTTTGTAATGGGGAACGACTAGCTTCAAACAACGAGGCGGAGGGGTTCTTTTCCAACTTGAGGAATGCCCACGCGGCTGCCCGTTATCCTTCCCTGTCTGGAAATGACGTGAGTCAGAATCAAGGCCTGCTATGAAAGTAGCCCAAACCATGTACAGAATTGTCATGGGGGTTGATCAAAAGGTCCTCTACATGGGATGACCATTGAAGGAAAACACTCAAAAAATGATATTCCCCCCCCCCCCCCTGAATGGGAAATTTACCCATGGTGATTTGGGGGCCAGCAATATTGTTTAACACGCACATGGGATGTATCCACAGCCATTTACTGTTGCGCTTGTTAGCCTTTTGCTACGAAAAAATCTCTCGCACACACACACACACACACCCGGGTGTTGGACGCTGCTTGAGGGTGCTTGGATGTGTGTCTTGAACATTTCCCCACGGACCTCAAGACCAGACTTTAGTACAGAAATGCAAATTTATGACACTTAAGCCAATACTTCGGGTTTGAGTATCCCTCCTAGGTCCCCAGTAGTGCACTTTCTCACCTTTTTTTGGGGGAGGGTCCCCCTACTAAGATAGACTACAGAAAACGGGTACCCTTATTCTATCCTCTCTACTGGAGGACCTAGCCTCATTTACCCGTGATTGTGGTTTCTCCCGCCAGGAGCTTTCCAAGAGGGGTCACCCCCCAAACATCACGTGAGCCAGCATTACGGCCGAGTAGTAGATGAAGTTTCGTGGGGGACAGGCGCTTTTAACCAAACCGAAAAAGGGTACCCTCAAACAACGACACCCCCACCCATTGCCTGCTGGTCCTACACTTGTACAGTCTTACATAGCAGGCCAGCACTAAACATCAGCCTTCGGGGGGGAAAAAAAGTACAACCTAGAGGGTCCCAGGAGTCACACTGCCCAAGCCAAACATTGCACCCACTACGGCCAAACCCTTTACATGACAAGGAAAGTGCCCATAGGGCCAATTCGTGGGTTCCCTTGTGCAATACCAGCAGCTGAACCATCGCGCAATTCTCTTGTGATCATGCATTTATTCAGTGTTGACCCCTTCTATTTGTGCTTTTCCTCAGAACGGGCGGTCTGAAAGGATATTGAGACACGCAAGTTCGGTGGTGGAACATGTGCCCATGGCTCTCAAGCTCCCCATGGAACCAATCCACCCCTCCGCTTCGGCACGGGTTGCCTGGAATACCACTCAGTGCCCACGTCGCTGAATGACATGACCGGTAAGCTGACCCAACTTGGGCGTATCTGTTCGTAGACTCTCCAGGCTGAGGGGTGGGCTGGGGTGGGTGGGTGGGACTGATCCGGGTTCCAAGTTGCTGGAAAAAATGCGGGAGCAAAAGCAGCGCCCCGGCCATATTCTTTGGACCAACCGCCGGGAACTCGTGGTGCTTTGCACACCTTCGGTTTCAAGAGAAGACCAAAGGAAAACCAAATGCGGTTCGTGCAGTGGTGCATGCCTCCTTTAGCCGAGTCTTTTATCTGTGATGTTCTCGAGTGGTGTGTGAAAAGGAACCGCAATCAACTCACAGGTGATGTTTAAACCAAGGGGCTATTCTAATAACGACCTCAAAATATGTCCTTGCAGTGAGCATTTGAAGCTTTGTCACATCTACTCAAAGGCTGGAGAAAAAGGCGGAGCCGGCAGTGCACCATACATGCGGAGGGGGGGGGGGGGTGCAGGTCCAAAATTGCGAAGGGTGGGATGACTTGGTCTAGAGTCGACCAGCAAACCCAGTCTTCCCACCACAGGTACGGTAGAAGGGTTGCCACCCTTCTGAAGGGTTGGAAAGATAAACGGTCCGGGTTTGTCTTTGAATGCTCAAGAAAATCATCAGAAGCAAAGTAAAGGAGACGAAGGAAAGGGGGTCGGACGAAAATGTCCAGTGCTCAAATGGCTGTGGGTCAAGACCCTGTACCGCTGGTGAACTTCAAAATTGGTGGTACATGGGTGTTCATCCGCCCCAAAATGGTTCGGCATAGGTTGTGACCCGCTTTGGGACGATGGGTGCAGTACCCGGCGACGCTTTCTGCGGGAAACAGTGGACTTCGCCCGCCTCAAAGAAATCAGAACGGGGCGGGTCCCAAGACAAGGGGGGGAAAAAACACATTGGATCACAATGTCGAAACATATACCAGAGTTTTGGATGTCTGTTGTGTGTTTCTATATCTCTCATGTGTTATTCCATTTATTTTGAACAAATGAAATGAGTTAATCAATGTTTTCAATTCTTCAACTGTGTTCCATGTTGCGTGCTTTCATGATTCAATATGTTTCAAACGTTCCATTATATTTCAATGAAATGCAACGATCAAAAACGCAAAGACGAGCCACAGAGCTTGACATACTAGTATTTTCAACATGTTTCAAGAAGGATGAAAGCCAAGCTTTCCAAGCAAAGCCAACTTTGAGCATCAAGGATCAAGGGCCGAGCAAGCGAGCGATTCTCCAAGTGCGAGGCTGCATTCGCGCTGAACGGCCGCGATGAATGGTGAACCATTCGCGCATGGCACTTTTTCGTCTCTTGGCTCATCCTGTCACCGGGTTTCACCGGTTCTAACCGCAAATCCCAGCCCCGCAAGATCCGCAAACGGCACCTGGGACCCAATTTCATGTCACCAGTTGGAGCATCGCGAGTTTTAGATCGCGCTCGCCGGACCTTTCGTCCAAAAGGAGTCAGTCTCTGTTCGTGGCCTCCGTTCAGGTCACATTCGCCCCCTTCCAGAGGGGGCGGGGGGAAACCTGACTCTGAGGGGCACTGAGGGGTCTCACCGCTCGCGTTCCCATCATTTCCGGCTCAAAGACCGGGAAGTGCCGCTCGCCGCCACTCGCTCCGCTGGGGTCCATAGGCGCAGAGGGACACCTGTCTTGGTGCGTTTCTTGGGGCTCGGGTATATAGGGAACGATTTGCCTTTCAATTGCCCAGGAGGGAAAATTCTCCCAGAGACCAACCCACATCAGGGATTTTGACTTTTGGATTGGCTCTTTCAAGGAACAAGCACGTCGACTTTTGTTTCCGCCAGGTGGACGCCCATATGGCTATGGGTCAAAACCCCGGTTTTTCCCCAGTGAACATCCCAATCCCCACTAAAATAGGTTCTAAAGTGGGTGGTGAATTCACCAATCCCAACCAAAATGGGATCCCAAAACGGTGTTGACCCATCATATCCAATGGAGGCATTCGTGCCAAGCCTCCTGAAGTGACGCTCAGGCCAGCGGCTCCAAAAGGTCCGACCTCGGAAACCCTGCGGCTGAGACTCCAGTTGGGAACACCCCACTGGAAGAAAGGCTTCCAAAGAAACTAAGTGTACAAAGAAACCTACCTCACTTCCTGAGTTGGCCCAAAAGAAAGGAAAGGAAAGGGGTTAATTACATGAGACCCACATCTCTCTGCAGCCTGTCGCTGTCAATGAGAAAGGTACACACTTGTTCTTTGCCACCACCATGGTCCGTCCAAAAAGCCATGAAGTTCAGGACCTCAGGCCGTGAGAAACAGGTCACTCCCACAGGCCGGACCGAGGCCCGCACGCGCTCAGCTCTTCGGCCGGGAAGGCGCGGTTCACCAGGACTTGGAGGAAAGGCACCTGAGAAGTCTGAGAAGCGGAAGGCACAGGAGTGACATCCTTGCGGTGTCGGTTTCGGCTTCGGTGGCAGGTTGCGGTGCAAGAGAAATTCGCTTCATTGGTTGGACACCATTCTGTTGGGGGGGGATTGGTTGCAACATGGGGAATTGCTTTAATTTGTTGGACCAGCTCTGGACACCACCATATTTTTTTGGGGGGGGGACTTATGAAACCATGAGGGTCCTCATGAAAACGGCATAGCCACACTTGAATCATGGACCTCCAAGGGCGCCGTCGGGGCGGCTCCTGCTCCTTAGCCCTCCCATCCATGGGGGGGGAGGGGACGGGGTGGTACAGGGGGGGGGCACGCAGCGAAGGGAAAGCCCAAAGGGGGACAGGGATAGTATTAAATGGGCCTGAGCTGAAAGGAAAACACCCAGCTGCAGCATGCCAGCAGCGCTTCTGAGTCTTTCAAGTGGCTGGCTCTCTGCGTGTTTTTGACTTGTCATTTCCCGATTGAAGACAGATTGATCATGCCTGGCAACTCTGTGCAACTCTGAACAAGTGCTGAGGTTTGCCAACTCAGCAGATAAGCAACACCAGCGCTGTGTTCAAGATTGGACAAATATCTGGGCATATGGTTGACCAACCTCTCCAAGCAAATGAACCAGTGAAATGCCCGACACCCATCTTCATTTCGTTGAGTTTGAACGGAACTTCCATGAACTCCACTGTAAACAAAAACAGGGAGAAAAGGACATGCCAACCTTTTGCTGCCAGTTGGGCGTCTTTTTAGGGGACCCTCGTTCTCCTGTTGGTCTCCCTTTCAAACAAAAAAAGGTACCCTCACAAAACGGACGACCGAGTCATGAAATGATTAGAGTTAGGCCCAGTTATAGAATGTATATTTTATTCTTTGCTTCACTTTGAGTCACTGGTAAAATGTACGATGTATCCTAAGTCTACCCCCGGAGTTGAATTTCACAGGGGTTCGGGGGGTCCGCCTCCGCCAGCAGCAGGAAGGCCTGCAGCCGCAAAGCCGCGTCCGCCTCCGTGAAGAGGCGCGACGGATGCAAGCCGATGACACCTGCGCGTGGCCGGGTGATGCAGCAGAAAATTGGGATAAAACACACACACACACACCAACAAACACAACAAGCCAAACCAAACCAAACCAAACCAAACCAAACCAAACCAAACATATAATACAATGAAATAAGAAACATGATGGAGTAATGAAAATAATATACAACAAACAAAAAAAAACAACACAATGAAGTAATAAGCACACACTAAGCAACACAAGCACACACACACACACATATACAGAAATACCACGACGGGGATGAACAACACGGCATCTTAAGGATGCCCTCCAAAAGACCAAAAGCAAATAATCTGGTGGATTCCCAAAGCATGGAAGAAACAACCCCGCAGGGGAAAGCGAGAGGACACCTTCAAATAGACACACATTTTGCACCCTGCCCCCCATCTGGGCGTTTTCAAACAAATTGAAGACACAATAGGGCACAAAAACAAGGCAAACTTACAGAACCACACCCGGCAAGGCGCATTTTCAAGAAACACATTGCGGAAAACCACCAAAAAAACAAAAACCACCAAACAACAAAAACCAAAACCAGGGACCTTTGAAAACCACCGAAAACCAAACACCCGCCCGGATTTGTTCCAACCTGCATGAAGCGCAAGCATCACCAGAGCCTTCTGCAGCACCGACCTTAAGCCGATGGAGCGGCGATTTTCGTCATCTCTAGGAAGTCTACAGGAAACTAGCAAAGACACTGGTATTCTTTCTGGTGCTCAGCAGGGATGATAAATTTTAACTGACCCTTATAAATCACCCAACTGGTGGTTTCGCAGGAAATTGTTGAGTTCATTCCATTTCTCGTTCCCTACCTATCGCACCGATCGCAAGTACTTGCTGGAAATTTGGCCACTCGACCTTCCTGGAGCCGGCGTGAGAGATTAAAAACGCACAAAACTTACCATCCCTTCCACTAACATGGCACCTCTGGGAGGGTACCTGGATTGGTTTCCTCTTCAAGGAACCCCATGTCTGGTGCTATGTTAGTTGGAGGGGGTAGGTTGTGGGGGTACTACTTTGAAACGAACTTGCGTAGTGACTGCAGGAGTAAGCCACCAGTCACAATCTAGCCACAGATCTGCGTGTTTCTGCATCTGGTTTCTGGCGAGGGCCAGGATTGCCTCGGAAAATGGCCGCACTTTCTCAACAAGAATAGGGTACCCCTGATCCCCTGTGACATGTTGCTTTTTCTATATCATGGGTAATTTGGGCTGCACATCAAAACAGTCCGTAGAGGAGATTCCTCGAGAACAGGCACTTTGTACTCTTCTGCAGCCACCCCACTCAAGAGAAGTGTCATTTTCCCAAGCTCGGCTCTTCAGCCGGGCGGCAGCAAGATCAAAGCCTTGATGCTCAGAAACTTGGCGGTGGTCTTGTACTTCTGCAGCGCATGGTGCGACAACATGTACAGAGCGAAGAGCGCCTGGGGCGAGCTCAAGCCACAGTCAACATCCAAGCCGCCGACCAAAGTACCAGCCAAGCAACCAAATACCCAACGAACCAACCCCACAGCTGTCAGCATCCACCAAGTTGCCCACCAAAGGCCAAGCAACCAAATACAACCGGCCTCATGCTTCCCCTCCGTTGAGGGGCGCATTCCGGTAAGGGTTCCAAATTGTCTTTTCCGCCTGGAGGCAGATGAACATGGACGCCAGGCGCATCACTTGCACCGCCCCTTGGGCGGCATGCAAATGCTTCTGGTAGTTCTGCTCCCTGTCCAGGGCTGCACCCAACAGCGCCGTCAACGGCGTCACGTAGCAGAACTGCTCCACCATCCACCTGGCTCCCCGAGGTGCCATCCATGACCCTCGCATAATTAAGAGGGAACCCTTTGTGGCATTGTGTTTGGTGGGAACCCACCCAAAAGAGAAAACGAGTCCTTCCGCCTGAATACCGTGACCAAAGCAAGGTGATACCCTGGAATTCAACAAACAAGCGCATCCATTCCCTATGGTCCTTACTATCAGCAATCATGGCTCACACGGCTACGACTCTTAGGCGCTCTTAGGGATGAACTCCATGAGAAACACGTCCGCAAAAGCAGCCGCAATGAAAATTAACACCCTCACCATGGCGCATGGCACGACAAACAGTTTGGGCACCGGTCGAAAGCGCGCCTCATCTTGGCTAACATCGCAGCATCAAAGGGGGCGTCCTCCAGGCAAAAGCCGCCCAAAGTGAGCCACAATCAAAACTCGGTAAGGGGAGTTGTCCTCCCGTCCACTAACATGGATTCCACCTGAGGTTCCCTTTGAGAGAATGATGGTCTTCCAGGAACCCTGGTCAGGTTCCATGTTAGCGGAAGGGGGTTGGTACTCAAACCAATGTAATGAATAAGAAGGCGGATAAGCGCCGTCCATTCAACTCGACTCCAACCGAACCAACTCAAGCTGTTTATAGCATGAAGACTGTCCATTGCTCTTGATCTACCTAGGAATTTATGGCCCAAACGATCCGAAGATGTTGCCTCCCAGTACTCCTTTCACGAAACGGCACAGGTTATTAAACATCCACCAATTCTGCATCACGTTTGCCAACCCTGTCAATGGCCGGGGATTCACAACCGAAAGCAAGCACACGGATTCCTCTGTTGTCTATTGTCCCAGAAGAAAACCCGCAAATTCGGCAACCAAATTTTGCGCCACATCTGGGGAACGCAAGGTAATCTGCTTGATTCTGTGTCATATTCAGCCTACCCCAAAATACAAAGCCATTTTCAAGGAAACCCCAGGAAAGGTGCTCAACACCGCCTTCCGGTACATCTAGGGCACCCGGGTTTGCAGATCTTTGGCGCTGATTTAAAGCAATCGCCAGCCACAAGGCTCGAAGCTAAGCAAACTCTGCCAAAGGAAGGGCCTCCCCTCGCCTGCCCGAATCTTTGCCCCCCCCCCCCCCCCCGAAAAACCGAAAGCAACTTCTTGCAGATTCCGGTCCATATTCATTGAACGAAGATGAGCGTGATGCTAAGTCTAATGATCTGCCCACACGACTGAAGGGAGAATAAGCAATGAATGAAATGCATTCCAGACTCATCAAGTTCATCAATATACATGACTTATTTTTCTTCTGACATGAATTGTATTCTTTAAATTGTGAATCTTACGTATACGTGGTTGTCAACTAATTCATTGAAACAACTCATTTCGTTTTGCATTTCATTCAAATACCATTAGTAATGCTATGCAGGCCTAGACGTACCACCTTCATCCATGATTTAAGCCATTGTATCAACATAACTTATAACTATGTGCAACATCAATACAAAAATCATATAAAGTACTTAACTGACTTAAGTAACTAAAGTACTAACTAAGTGAAGGGAGATGAGGGCAGGGCCACGAAAACATTGGCTCAAAGGGGCCCTGAAACAACGAGAAAGCCACCGTCTGTGTGGGCCCTTCCGCAAACAGGACACATACACACAGAAATGTTCTAGGCCATTCTTTCCAGGGATCCGAATCTTTTCAGGAAACCGTCAAACACCCAAAAAACAAACGGAGAACGATGGTTGAAAAGGATGGTTGGAATCACTCTTTTTTTGAACGGCCGCTAGGAGGAGCTCCTGTGCCAAGTAATGAATCCACCCCCAGACAGTTGCCCCGACCGAATTTTGTCGCGGCCCAAAAACCGCGCTCCGGGCAGAGGCATGGCATCAGCGGCACCAGACATCCGCAGGGCGGCACCCGCCAGAGGCTGCCGCGGTGATCCGCGAGGCGACGCACCGTTGCCTCTTCCCCGCCTCGGATTGTCGAGTCCCTAGGACTGTTCGCGGCTAGGTCCTCCACATTTGAGAGGTAAGGGTACTCGCTCTCGAGGTTGCTTCGGTTAAGGGGTGCTCCTGGAGCAACCACAAGCACGGGTAAATGAGACTAGGTCCTCCGGTAGAGAGGTTAGAATAAGGGTACCCGCTTTTTTCTCTGGAGGGGAAGCCTCCCCCAAAAAAAGGGTGAGAAAGGGCACTACTGCTGGGGGACCTAGGCGGATTGCAAGGGCGAGGTTGTGGGAATTGTATGATCAAAGGCAGACAATGACCAGAGGATCAAACTCGTCGTTTAACCCCATAGACTACCCAAAGCCCAAAAGCAAAGTCGTTTGGGGCCAACTGGGCAACAAGGAGGTGTGTAATCAGTTGGTTCAAATCAACTTTCCTCAAGAGATATCAGCCACCCTTTGCTATTTCACACTTGTTTCCTTTCACGTTAGCGAGGCTCTGCGTGTCAGCGGGGCCATTGGGGTTGCATGCTTGTTGCCTTTTGTCAGGCGGCAAGCCCCGGCGTTCAAAAAAAAGCCGCCCCGAACGTGCGAGTCTCTGAAAATCTCAAGATACAGGGGACTGGGCATGCGCATCATGTTTTGCCAGCCCATCATGAGCAGTGTGCAAATTTCCGCGGCTTCCATGACTAGTTGAGGGTCATAGGAAATGCTTGCAACGCAAGCAATGCGTGTTCCGTGGAGCTTGAAGGACATGAATACTAAACATGCATGTGTGTAAGCGTGGACATATCATGTACGAACAACTTTGCGTATAACATGTATGTACAAATATGTATGTCATTCATATAAGGCAATTGGTGCAGCCCTCGTCATTGTCTCCTTCTCTTTCAAAGGGTCCCCTCCACATAAGTCAGTCGGCTCCGACTCTGACCAAAAAGCGCGGGGTCCATAGTTTGTCAGCAGGGTCAAAGCTAGGGTGTCTGGGAGAATTGAAAAATGATCCATCGCCTTGTGGTTTCCCTTTGGAAGCTTGAAACACGTTGGCCCATTTAGCACCCAGCAAATTGAAGAGAAGCTGCCCAGGAGGCAAATGATGGTGAGGCCGAAGTAATGCAGAGCCAGGGCCTCCCAAATCTCCTCGAAGCGCTCAAACCCACTGGCCATGGGCAATGTGAAAATCGGCGGTGCTGCATTTGTTGGTTTGATTTTAAAGGGACACCCCCCCTCAAAGAGTCAGGCAAACGGGCAGTAGAGGTCTGGGTCTATATCCATTTTGCACCTCCAATCTCCTCAACCCCTCACTCCAGAAAACCTTTTCGCGTTGTCTCCACAGGGTCATCCGCGCCACAAAGAGTACTCGCACTACATGGTCATGATACCCCCCAAAAGCCCCAGTGTCATGCGCGCCCATCTGCCAACAGAAGACACACACAATACTACGCTGGCCCTCAAATTTCAACCTTTTTCAGGGTCATCTGCGCCCACAACTTGCAGTCATCCGCGAAACACGCCTTTCTAAAACACCGCGGGCGCGGAAACTGACCCCAAAAAACGCAAAAACATTCCCGTCACAGGAGTCCTTTTAGGGGGAATAGATGGCCCTGGTAGATGATTAAACCACCAGGTAAACCAGGAATCGCCATCCATTGTTTGATGCAAAACAACCAAAAAGGACGCCTATTTTGCTTGCAACCCTACTTTTCGCTGCTCTTGCTGGGCCAATCGGACCTAGACACCTATGCTTCCGGTTTTGGGACACGACTTCAACTTCACGCCTGCAGGATGAAGACGGGCACCGCAAATGAGGGCGCAGCGACCTGCATAAAGGCAGCCAGAGCCACCACCAGGGGGAAGAGGTGCATCAACCTTGGGCCATGTCCAGCTGAAACCATCGATTTGTATATGCAAATGTGTAGATACATATAATATACACATAAACTTATATACATATGTATGTATGTACGTACGTACGTACGTACGTACGTACGTATGTATGTATGTATGTATGTATGTATGTATGTATGTATGTATGTATGTATGTATGTATGTATGTATGTTTGTATGTATGTATGTATGTATGTATGCATGTATGTATGTATGTATGTATGTATGTATGTATGTATGTATGTATGTATGTGTGTATGCATGCATGTATGTGTGTATTTGTGTGTATGTGTATGTGTATGTGTATATGTATATGTACATGTATACGTATATGTATGTACATATGCGCATATGTATACATATATATATATATATATATGTGTATATATATGTATATATATATTTTATAAAACAACTACATGCATGTGTTTATGTATGTGTGTGCGTGTAGTGTATCTATGCTTCAATGATGCTGATGATGGTTAATGGTGCGTCTAAATTCCACCTAAGCAAGACTCTCCGCACAAAGGCCGAAGGGCAACTGAACAAACGCCAAACCGAAATAGAAAATAGCAGCGTGCTTTGCCAAAAAACACACTTCCTTCCTCGCGCCGGAGAAGTTTGCAAGTGGGAACCCGAATGTAGGTGAAATCCACTGAGGGCGCTGAGAAGGCCACAACACCCCAGGCTGCGCTTTCGCCGACTACCCTGCAAAGGGGAAGACCCAGCTGGGATGTTCGGCTGGTGCTGTATGTGTTTTTGTGTGTTTGTAGGTCCAGGATGGTAGTTGCTTGACAGAAGCAGGGCAGGTGCGCTTTTTTGTTCGAGTACCCTTGGGATGGTTGAGAAGCCGAAAGGACAACCTACAGGAAAGCCTTGGGATGAGAAATCTATCTAGTGTCTTAAAGGGGCAACCACAAAGGAACCACTCCCAACCTGTGAACTGCTCGTTCCTTGCGGGCTGGCAGCTGATACAGCCCCCGCAGGCGCGGCGTCGACGTCGCAGGAGCCTTCAGCAACGCCCTGGCTCGGATCCAGATGGACTTCCCTTTAAAACGACCCCAAAAACGGGGGATCCCGGTCTGGTGACACAAACCATTTTGGTGGCCCAACTTTTTTGGTCCGTCTTTTGGTTAGGCTTCTCAGAAGGTCTCCCGATTGAGCATTAACAATTCAGAAACGCGGCACACCAAACTTGGTTGCTCAATAATGGTGGGGAATCCCGATTCCCTACGCACTCTGTGCGATATTATGGGGAAAACATGGCATCAGGGAGGAATGTATATAATATATATATATATATATTAATATATATATATATATATATCTATATATTATGTATGTTGTAATATGTGTATAAAAAATAAGGGGGCGATGAAACAGGTGGCTTCCCTTTGGCATCCAACTGGGTTCCAACTCCAAAGGCGCGCCGGAGTTCGGAACGCAAATAGAACCCCTCTGCCATGGGCAAGAGAAGTAAGACTTTCATTGGCATTGGGTCAAGAATAGGTATCCAACATGGAACCCTGGCAAATGAACACCTGAACCAAAATCTGCGGTTTGTCTGGCGGCTGAATTTTGACCCATACCCAATTGTTGGCGAGCAGTGCTGCATGAACATCCGTTGCAATAACGCGGTCTGGGGCAATGATCGCTGCCATGACAGGACAGCCTTCCCAACGCAGTGGCAATGTGGCCATCTCCTGAATTTTGGGCATATGCGTCTCTAAAGTAGCAAAGCCCCAAGAAGGGTTGCTTCAATTGAACTCCTTTCAGTACCCTCAAAAACGTCAAACCCTGTCTTTGTTGCTTCTGCAGAAGCCGTGCAAGGTGTGGCAGCGCGATCAGCCGACCTTTGGGCGACGTTTTGCTGTGTGCTGGATACCTGGAAGCTAAGGGGGGGAGGTACTTCCAATGAAGGAAACCCGCCATCCACCGGAAAAAAAAAAAGAAGAGAAAAAACAAAAGTGGGTCTGGGCAGGGGGAGGTTGGCCCCTTCAGCGCGTTCTGGTTGCTCGTTGACCTGGATTCTGGCAGGCCATGACTTGCGCCCATTGGGCAAGTAGCACGACTCAACCAAGGAAACTAAGTCTTGCATGTCCGAGAGAAGCGAAGGCTCAAACATCCATCTGGGTGCCCTTGTCCGGGTTGGTTTGGAGGAAAATAGTTCTAAATGGGACCCACCGACTTGAAAGCTTCCAACTGGCAGACACACCCAGAGCTGTTCAACGTCCCAACGTCATCGTTACCCGCCCCATGTTTGACCCTTGTGAAAATCAAGGGACCTCCTCCATGAGAGAGTGCAGAACCCCCTCCTTTGTCAAGCTCGGCAGTATTATCCCGAGCCCTTCCCTTTTGAGAAGTCCTGGGAATTCAGGGCTAGACCGCAAGTACTGGATTCTCTCTCAAAATGAGAAGCCAAACTGGGCCCTTGCCATAGCATTCTCAAATCAGGTTGTCCAGTTTGGCCAGTTCGGGAACTGGGGGCCGCTGGCCCAAAACAGAGAAACTGAGAATCCATTTGAACACTGGATCAAACCCAAGGAGGCAACTGGCAAACTGGAAACCCTGTTTGGAAACCCTCATTGACTCATTCGGGCAGTCCTTTGCTTCCCGTTTTCTTACACTTCCTCTCACGAACAAGTCAACTCAAACAGATACCACGGACATCCAAGAACAGTGAGCTGTGAAGTCCGCTTTTGTCCTAAGCTTGCAAAACTGAAGAAGCTCTATGTTGGCGATCCTTTGGGAAGTCCTCTTTTCAGAACCCGTTTCTGAAACAAACCAAAAACGGGCCGTGAGGATCGTCTTAACATCCCTTGCACCCCAGGCCCAGCGCTACGAGGGGCCCCATTTTGGAGGGAGAATGGGTTTGGTGCCCAGGTCCCCCCCCCATTTTTCAAAGGATTGGCAAAAGTTCCACTGACCGGAGTGGACTTGCCGCAAAGAGAAATCAACTCAGAAAGAACTATTCGATAGCTTCTAGTTTGTGAACCGGACAGGCAAGTCCAGGCGGTGCCAAACCTTGGTGGCTGGCGGGAATTTTGGGGGAAACTCATCATGTTTAAACAAAATAAAGGCCAAAGATCCGACATGGGTTTGCCTGTTGGAATGGGGCGGGGACCCTAAAATCCTTGGTTTCCTTTTGGCTTCCCAAGTGCCAAATCAAAGAGGTCCCGCCATTTAGAGAGCAACACAACTCGCGCAAACCAACCGCATGCGCGCTTTGGCCCGTCGACCCGGACGAAGACGAGCCGCGAGTCGCGCGCCGCGAGTGCCGCGGCCTTTGGTGGCCCAGGGACAACACCAAACTCGCCGCCAGGAGCAGCCCAGCCGCGGCCATGCCCACTTCGTACCGGCGCCGGTCCGCCTGGGAATTGAGCCACATCAACCCGGAGGCCCCCAAAACAAGGACACCGCTTCTCTTGGTTATTCAACAACCTCAAGGGAAAAAGTATGGTTGTGTTAAACAAAACTGAAGGGGTGCCGTTTTGTTGGGTTGAAAAAGGGGGGGTCTGAAAAACGTGAACAAAAACACATCCCCTTTGGTTGCTATTGGGAAAGGTCATCTTTACCATTTGTCCGGTAATGGTAGTCGACAAGGGGGTTTCGCAGAAGGAAGTCGTCTTCTAAACCCTCCTGTCAGCTTTCATGATTGTTGCCGGGAGGTTTAGGGGTGGCTCTGAAGGGAATTCAAAGGGAAATCCATTGTGAGGGTCTTCTCGGAGACAACCCCGCACTAAATAGGCATTGGCCTTGACAAAGTGGCCATTCGGGCTTGCCTTGATAATTGATTGTGCGGGATAATGTGGAATTTGCAATCCGTGGCTCAAATCTGGTCTATCTTCGGGTGACCAGGTGCCGCAGGTGCCCCTTCGAGGATGAACTCCCTTGACTCATGGTCACCCAGTGACTGTATGCTGCTGTCAGACTTAGGGGTAGCAATTGGCAAAGGCACCTTGAGTCACATGCTTTCTGCGAACAGAAAATAGGTCATGTTACCTGTTGCAGGGAATCTTCCAAAGGAAGATCATGTTGGTTGTGAAAAAGGGAGACTGAGCCCTTCCCAGCCATTGCCGAAATTCTCGGTTGTAGACGCTGACAGAGGTCCTTGCTTCGTTTCGGTTTTCCGCCGTCAGCCACCTTTTGCTGCCTCAAGCCCAGATTCGAGGGATGCGGCATCCGACCCCCCAGACCTTCAATCCAGAACTCGGGCGGTGGTGACTCCCTCCATGTGTCAGGGTTCCCCTACCAGGGCCCTACCAGAATCTCTTACACTCCTTGCCGAACACCCCCCCATTCAATGCTATCCCTGCCCCCCTTTGGGCTTTCGCCCGTCCTTTCTCCCCATCACTAACGGGGGCCAGATCAAACCCACTCGGATGAAACTCCATCACTCTTTTCTTAGAGTGCTTGAGAGTGGCCTCTAGATTCAATTGGTAAGGCTGTCACACTTGCTCAGCCTCAAGCATAAGCACCCCAAAAACGGGAAAACTTGGACGTCTGAGGCCTACCTGAATTTCGCGTTTTGCTTCATCTTGCGCCAAGTTAGCTTGAGCAAAATTGCGCGTGTTCGCATCATGCTTTGAACTTAACAATCTCTCCAACACAAATATGTTGTTCAATGCTTTGCAACCTTGCCAGCAAGGTTTAAACGCTCAGTGATTTAGAGTGTTTTAGAGTGGTGTAGAGAGACTTAAAGTGATTTAGAGTGGTTTACAGTGATCTAGAGAGCATGCTCTGGATAAAATGAGTGAAGGGGTCCCATCCGAGTCGGTCCCTTCTGGGCCTGAATCACTTCCTTCCCTCCTCTGTAACACCCCCCCCCAACGGTTTCCACCCGCGGCTCCTGGTCCCCATGGGTGATCACGTCCCAAAGGTTCGGCAAAGACAGCACCTCCTTAAGCTCATCCAACCGAATGGCCGTCATGGCAAGGAGCTCGCCCCTAGCTCAGTGCGAGGCTCGGTGACGGGACTTCTCTCATTGGCCCACATCCTCTTGTGGCTTGGCGCATGTCCAATGAGAATCATGGAGCCGTGCGACCGCAGACCTGACTCATGTCGCCAGTTCGGGTAGAACCTGGGAGACAATACCCCTTGCCTAAACAACAAGTATGTCTGTTCTCGGTTGCTTTCTGCTCCCCTGCTAAAAGTTTAACTTTTAGTGGTTTAGTGGGAAACCCATTAGTTGGCAAAAAGTTAAAGTCCTAACAGCCAAGCAAAATGCACCAAAGTGTTGTTTATGTAATTTTGTTTGAGGTCATTGAGGTTACTCGACATGCCAAGAGTCCTGCGCATTCCCTCAGCCGGCTCTGCTTTTGCGAGATAAATTCCGCACCGGCAAAGCACTTTGGTTCATGCCGTGTCGAGCCCACTGGCCCGCTCCCGCGATCGCATTGGGATGCGACCCTGGAATGCGGAAAATGATGGGGGCCACAGTCAATATCAGTCGTGTGCCCCAATGAAATAGGCTTTTGGTGAGCACCTATGTCCTCATGGCAGCTTGGTGAGTGTGACATCTCAATTCCTTTGCTACAATAGATGGATATTGACTGTGGTCCGTGGGACCATGGCCCCGATCCTACGAGGCTTCAGCTAAGCGACAGAACATCTATGGATGTGGTTTTGGAGGGTTCCCTTTTCCGTGGTAAAGGGAAACCAAAAGGAACGCCGCAATTTTGGGGGAGTCCCCTTCTTTTATAAAAAAAGGCATCGGGCCCTGGTTGTTGGTTTCCTTTCAGTTGGGCCAAGTGACCGCCTTGGCCAAGTTCACTGACCCTTAACCCCGTCAAACTACCAAGTGGCAGTGCTTTTTTAGCACTAAAAGGCCCTGAAACGTGGACATCCTGGAAGGTTCTTGGATAAACTTTTCTTGACACATGACACACACTGACACACCAAAAGCTTACACATCAGGGGTGTCGTTGAAGAGGCGCTAGGGCCGAAACCTGGGTCGACGGGTCAAGCTCGCGGCGCCGCCAGCCCTCTTTGGAGCATGGGGTGAAACGAAAGCCGGCGTTGAACATGGGACCTGCTCTTGTTGACGTCGGGAAAGCCAACAGTCACCTCTTCTTACCGCTCAAAGATGGGGATCGAGATGCCATTTTTCCGTAAACCTGGCAAAGGATCGATTTTGAGCAGTGGTCCCCACCCCTTTGATGGCTTCTGCCAAGCTAGGCTCGCTCGGGCTCTTGCAACTTGGACTTTCAAAATCAGAGCGCCCAAACCCCGAGCTTCATGTGGAGCCGTTGGATGAGTCCGATAACAAGCTGGGTTTGAAATCGGACACAAATGACTTCGCAGGCGCTCGGATTCCACTTGGGCTTCCTAAACATGGCCAGCGTTACTTTGAATCGGGTAGCGTGGGTTCACTTGGTTGTGGGTGCAGTCTGAAGGTATGCCTGTTGCGGGTGGGCCGCAAGCAAGCACGCAAAACAAGCCAAGCCAAGCCAAGCCAGGCAAAGCAAGGCAAGCAAGCAAGCACCTCAGCTTGCAGGGGGCGGTACAAGCTCTTCTTCTTTCACTGGGCATGCCTGCATGAACGGAAAGCCATGACGGACAGCATGAAGTAATGCTTTGCACAATACATAATTCATAATTCCGTGTAAAGGTGCGCGCCTTTGCACACACACACACATTCGTTGTGAGTGTGCCTGTAAATGCGTACATGAACATATAACATGAGCGTTGGCTGCGATTCACCTTTAACTTTAATTGGGCATTAAGCTTCCGCACACCTTCCGCGGCGCACGTTTTGCCCTGATGTTTGCTTCCGCGCCTATCAGTGCAGAATGGAAAGTCAGATTAAGAAGGAAAGTAATGTTTCGCCTATGTTGGTGCAGCGTGTAGAGGCTTGGGTTCCATTTGAACTACCGGTGCTATGTGGGCACTTGCCTGCAGACGCGGGGCCACCCTTCCGCGGAGCTTCTGTGAACCTTCTGCACATCTTGCGGCCGGCTGGTTTGGTCCGCTTGGCTTGCTGTGGGCAACTGCTGTTCTAGTAAGCGTTGCGCTTGTATGTAGCAACACCAATCTGCTTCTATACATACTGTAGTCGGTTCCTCGCGCTTTGCCATGCACACAAACTGAAACAGTTAAATCAATACACAAAGCTTCCGCAAACCTTCCGCGACATCAATCCCTTCCGCGAAGAGCAACCGGCTCAGTGTTCGATTGAAATGGGGCAACATGTTCTGAACGAGTTGTCTATATACATGCTTCATATGAGCGGCGTTTTTTTTTTGCCAAAAGCCAAAGTAGTAGGGAGAGGCACATAACTCTTGACTATGTGTGTGCACCGCGCCACATGTGCGGAAGCATGCGGAAGGCACATGTCCAGGGCTTCAGGCGCTCAAATTGTCCGAATTCCGGGTGAAATAAATCCGCTGGCTGCCAACACCGCCTAAGCAATCCACGAAGCAACCATTTTGAAATGCATCGCAATACACGAGAACACTAAAACGGCGAATTGAGAAGAGACATGGATACCAAAGTGTCCCAATACAAACATGGCTGCCAGGAAAACACCTAAAATCCCGAGCGGCGCCTGAGCTCTTGTAGACCCCGCCACTTCCTCAAGTCTTCCTCTCTGGGGCAACAAGCAGGCGTCGCTGGGTGCCTCCCAAATGGTCCTAAACTGGACCATCAAAAAAGCGGAGCTCCGCTGAAGCGAACCTCGAGGCTACGAAGCTACGCGGCCCGGGCCTACGAGCATGGTTGTGGAACACTCGCCCCTGTGCGCATCCCCACATGTCCCCGGAAAAATTCGCCACGTCCAACCATGCCTCCGAGCAACTACAGCACCCAAAGCCCCAAAGCATTGGCCATGCCAAGTCACTTGGTTGCTTTCTGCTCCCCTGCAAACAGTTTATTTTTTAGTGGTTTAATGGAAAAACCCATTAGTTGGTAAAAAGTTAAAGTCCTAACATCCAAGCAAAATGCACCGAAGTCATAGTAACGCATCTGGACAAGCCGCAGGTCAACTCTGAAACAATGGGTCAAGCGAGGTCAATCCGCGGCTCCAACAAACCTCTGTCCACCAAACAGGATCCCCTAGGTTCCCCGCTTGGCTAGTTGTAACATCTCACCTTTTTGGGCAAGTTCATAGTTTCCTTTTGGCGGGGTGATGTTTCAAGAGGCAAATCCAAAGGTCAATGGTTAACTCTGTCTCCAGTCAAGCAGGGATCCTTACATTATACACCTGAACATTGCAACTTGGAACTGGTGGTTTCCAACTTGATTTTGGTGTTGAAAAAGGAAAACATGTTTCAATTGGTTGCAAAATGTATCTTTTAAGGAGCCCTGTCAAGGCACTCATGAACTCATTGGCTGATTGGAAACCTCCAATTTTTTCTCGGGCCAGCCAACCCTGAACGAAAACATCTCCGGTCAATACCAAATCTCTGGGTTCAAACCACATTTAAAAAAAGGGCTCATATTTCACCACCATTGTTGACCGTTTAGGATTGTCATCATCTAAATTGGGTCAACCCGCATCCATTCAATCTAACCTACTTCATGGATAACTGGGATCCACTGGGTAAAGACTGTCAACTCATTCTTCTAACGCTCGCCTAACTATTTGACCATGATCAAAGTCACCCGGTAAGTGGTGGGTTAAGGGGAAACGACCCCATGTTCTGCCTTCGATAACCCCCCAGGACACAGTGAACAAAATGACCTCGGTCATGGGGAGGGGGCGTAAGGAGCCGGGAAAACTCAGCGCCTCACACGGGGTTTTGGGCTCGCTCGCCTTCGACCGCCGTCCACTTGACGCGTGAGCCATCGGCCCACTCCCCGGCACGGGTCACGCCGTCGGAGGTGGTGTACTTGCCCAAGCCTCGCACCGAACGGGTCCAACACATATATGGGGTTGTTTGCTTTTTGTGGAGGGTAGCCTTTTTGGGGTGGAGAAAACTAGACAAAAGAAGCCGTTTTGGAGGTTCCCCAATTTTGAGACAAAGCAATACGTATGGGTTTGGCTCAAGGGGGGGCCCTACAAGGGGGCGGTGAGAGACCTTTTGATTTGGGTTTTTGTTAAAGACAAGACACCCCAAAAAGAAAAAAAACAAAAACAAAAAAAAACATATATGGTGATCTTCCCTTTGGTTTCTCTTTATATAAACCCAGGTGAAAAAGAGCACCCTCAAAAACACAACAAAAGCAGGGGTCCAACCAAACCGGGGGTTGAACAGGGAATCGAAAAATGGAATTGGGGACACCAAAGAGAGACAGGAACAAAATAAACATCTGTGATTTTGGGGGTGTGTGTTGTTTCCAGTTGGTGCCATTTTGTTCTGGGCTTGAAGGGAAACCAACGGGGAACGCCACCACATGTTGAGTCCCCTCGCTTTCGACATGCCATTTTTTTGACTTGCCTTTAAAGTGCCATTTCCTTGACAATCAAGCTTTGGAACCCCGTTTAGGGCTTTCCCAGCATCCCTTCCTTGAGAACACATGTCCGATCAAAAAGAGAAAGGATGACTTGCGATGGCAGCTATGCATAGCTTTCTGAGGGGCTTTGGCCCAGACTCCTTCCCCTCACAGGGTGTATGTTTGATTTGAAACCCGCTTTGGTCTGCTTTCCAAAGGCGATAAAAGGTTAGGCCTACTGTTTTAGGGCTTTCCTTGTGTGTGTGCGTTTTGGAGTTGGTACCCGTTTTAATGGAAGGGTGGTCCGAAGGGGGAGAAGGACAGACTGGGGGGTCGAATCCTCTTTTGGACATATCAAGTTGCCTCCTGGCCTGCACAGCCATTCCCCAAATGAGCGTGTGTGTGTGTGTGTGTGCCGTTTTTTGAGGCTCGGTACCCCCTTCGTTTGTGTTTTGGAAGGAAAACCAAAAAGGAACACCGACATGGATTTTGGGGGTCCGAATCCCCAACAAACATATTGCCAGTGGGGAGCCCAACCACATCCAACCCACCCTTTTGCCATCTTTGGTTTCTTGTTGTTGGGGCAAGGACAAAAAGACAAAAACACAGAGCCAAAGGAAACCAAGGGAAATCCGACAACTGGCGTCGGATTTGTTCCAACACCAAACCAAAGAACACCACAGGCACAGGCACTCCTTTGAATCGCTTTCTTTCTTCTCTGCAATGTGGCTTGGGAACATTTTTCTGGGAGTCCGATAAGGAAGGCGATCCTTTCGATTCAATGACAACCCTCGCTTCCCTAGCATTTCATGAGCGGCTGGTAGATCAATGACATGAATTGGTATGACACATAAATCCGCCGACATTGTTCGGCGTGTCGGATACCTAAGAGAGGACTATTGGATACCTAAGAGAGGATAGAGGACCGGGACACGTCAAATACGCATGGTTTTTCGGTCGCCACCCCCCCCCCCTCCCCCGCGTACCGCGCGGCAATTTGATGACGTTCCACTAAACGTAGTCTTCGGGGAGCGGGTCTGGAGAAACGGGGGTCCCAGGCTCGAATCCTCCCGCCGCCTCTTTCTGCCGGCTGAGGCTTTGTGCTGCCTTTTGCGGAAAACTTTGAGACACACGGTGTTCGGTGTTTTTCCTTTGCTGACACCATCCAACTGGTCAGCACTGAAACTGCAATTCCACATTTCCGCTCCCAGACTTGCCATGCTAAGCCACGCTTCTCGCAAGCAAGAATGCCACACAAGGGGCAACCTCAACACCCCTGAGAAATCAGCTTATCCGCGCACCCCGCCAAAATGACATGCAGTGGCCATGACATACCACCCAACACTAAGGTGCCCTAAACGGCGAGCCTTCCTGTTCGCAATTGTACGCCCTGTTTGGTCGCCACCCTTTCCCAACATTTTACTTGGAGGCATGGTTCGGCGCCCTTTTTGGGAGCACCCTCTTGGTGGCACTCAACACTTCGCCGACATTGCTCGGCGTGTCGGGGAGGATGGGGGAACCAGAGAGGACAGAAGAGCATACTAGGGGGACACGGGCGAGAGGAAGAAGGAGACAAGCTAGATGCCAATGTCGGCGGACTGAGCCGGAGGCTCTAAAGTTATAGGAGATGAAAGATCTGGCAAGTTACTACAAACCTCAAACAAACCCCGAGTAAGACATAATGTAGTATAGGAGATGACCTATATGGCAAGTTACTAATACAACCTCAAACAACTAGTCCACGAGTAAGGCACACTTCCTATCTCCTGAGTTTCGTTACCACAGTTGAGCTCTTCTTGACTCGTTGTCTCGTTGGGGCAAAAAAGGCTGACACCGAATTTGCCAGAAAGCTCTAAACATGGAAGTGCGATCCCAATCCTTGTATTGCTCCGGCTGCAGCCCAAATGTTGAGCGCGAGTGTGCCCCCGAACGACACACACACACACAGAGACACACAGAGACACACAGAGACACACAGAGACACACAGAGACACACAGAGACCCACAGAGACAGACAGAGACAGACAGAGACACACACACACAAACACACACACACACACAGCCAGCCAGCCAGCCAGCCAGCCAGCCAACCAGCCAGCCAGCCAGCCAGCCAGCCAGCCAGCCAGCCAGCCAGGCACGCACGCACACACGCACGCACGCACGCACGCACGCACGCACGCACGCACGCACGCAAACACACAAACACGCAAACGCGCAACCACACAAAAACACAAAGACACACACAGAGACACACATACACACTCACACTCACACTCACAAACAGCTAGCCATGAGCCCGAGTTGTAGCAATGTGTCCAGATTCCGTTCCGAGATCCCGAGATCCCGGCCGTGCTGCACCCCCTTGCGCCACTGGCCCTGGTACTTCCGGCCATCAGACCTCAGGCGAAGCGGCGAAACCCAGGTTTTGCGACAAAACGAAATGGAGCAAAGCGGCAAACGTGACCCAAACATAGTACGCTTTTGGACAAATAGATGGGTTTTCCCGGTACATGGGGCATGAACCCCAGCTGAACCAGTGTCTGTTTTTTATCCCAACTCACCCAAAAAAAGGAGACCTATGGACCAAAACAGGTCTCATGGTTTAGGGACATGAATCTGCCATTTTGCGAACTCAGTGTGTAGACCGTTCGCGCTTTCTTGGTTGCGGCTTTTAAATGCAGCAAGTATCTCATCATGCAAATAAACCGACTGTCACTTTTTCCCACGGATTCCGACAGTTTCCCCAGCATCGCACCCAAAACAAATTCGGCCGGAACTCTCTCGAGTCCCTCTCTCGGTCTTTGGTCCTGTAGGTTGCATCGCACCCGAAAAAAGATTCCCTTGGAAAACCCGCCGAAACTCTCGAGTCTACCCCCTACTGTCTGTCTCTGCTTAATTCTGTAGTTCTGCCTCTGTCGCTCTTGGACGCGTGTTTGACGCATCGAGGCATCCGCCAGAAGAAGGAACCCTCGCCATGCTTCATGTCCTCAAAGTACTGGCCTAGGCACGGCGAGCGGCAAGCGAGCGCGTGCATCGAAACTTAAGCCTTCGGGCTTCCAACTATCCGATCACCAAGAGGAGAAATGCGGAATCACCATAGCATTCGCGGAAGCACGCGGATATGTTGTGTTTTTTTTGTTAAAATAGATCGCCAAATGAACAAAGAGGAGACTATACTTGACAATAGCCTTTAGCCCTTTGGAATCTTGACAAATTAGGGGTCTCTTCCAGAAGGTCTCTGCCCAAAAAAGGGGAAAAGGCCAGTCTTTCCGCCAGCGTCGTCAACATGTTTCATGCGTCGCTGGCAAAACCAACCAACACCATCAGAACATGCCGCAGTCGCCTCTTTCTTTTGCCGTGAAAAAAAAAAAAACTTCAGGGCCACATGTTGTTTGTTTAAGTATCCCCTGTTTGAAGTCCTTTTGGTACAAGTCAACCTGTGGTATTTCGCACGAATCCCGCGCGAATCCCAGGCGCGCCTTTGTAGCGCCGGCCATCGGGCCAGGTGAACTCGCCATCGCCGTGCCTAAGTTCCGGTCCAGGACGGGTGGAGTGGGTGAGGTGGGCCTGGTAAAAGGATAAAACTATGGTTCGATAAAAAGGCAAAGGAAAGCATCGGAACTCAAAAATGGCTCGGGATAGGCGTTAACAGCGCAAAAATGTTGTCAGAGGGTAGCCAGGTTTTCTTTTTGCCGCATCCTTGGGAAAGGTTTCGGGTTCCAGAAATTCCATCACCACTTTCAGAGCTGGTCAAACCTTTCCGCAAGAGCGTCTTAGGTCAAGCCTGCAGGTGTCTGCGTTCATTCCCATGGAAACCTTTTGGCAGGGCTGGTTTAAGAATTTTGCAGGGCGCCCAAAAAAAAAGCACCATCCGCTTTTATTGGCTCCCTTTGCTTTCAACAGCGGCATCCTGCTCCGGCAAAAACACGCCCGAATTCAATGTCTGCCGCTTCCAGCGGGCAGAAAAAAAAAGAAATCAGGAAAAGGCCTGGGCACCCCCACATGCGGTTGCGCAGCCACCGCCCTTTGTGCCTGGGCAAAGCAACGCAGGATGCTGTGGATGGACGCAATCTTGCACCGCTTTGAAACCATAGGAAAGCATTCTTGGTTGGCATTTGCAGCGGGAATCATCATTGCAGGGCTTCTTAGGTGGTGCAGGATTTCGTCCATCCAAAGTATCAAACCGGGCATTCCCGCTGGGCGAAATCTGGGACCTCCTGCTTCATGACATCCTTTTGTGCCCGTGAAAGGGACATGTATGCGGAGGGCCGTTTTGTTGGGAGTATCTATGTGCTTCGTACAATGCATCCATCAAATCCAACAACCCCCCAAGAAAGACACTCTTCATGGGGCCCCATGTGCCCCTCAGCCTCTTCGCTTCTGCCAAGACGAAAAGCGCGAGGAGTCCTTTCCCAAAGCACTAAAGTTCCAGCCATGGTATCTGACCCCACTGTCCGCAATATCTCACTCGCCCTTCTGCCTCGAGTGTTCCTTTCATCTGCGCTTTGACGCCCAGTAGGCGACCCGGGACAAGGGTGCCTGATACAACACACAGCCATATGGGTGTGGTCATTTAAATCTTCTGTGCCCAGACACTTTGGTGGCCATCATTTTGGGGATTCATGTCCACCAACCACTTTTGAGGTGGTTCCAACTCTTTAAAACTCGCAGTCAGTTGGTTTCCTTTTGGATTCCCTTTCCCGCCCCAAACAACAAACAAAACCCCACAAACATAGCTACACGCCAGAGATTCCAAGAGCGCGGCACGCGGCCACCCTGCCAGCAGTACGTGCCGAAGCCATGCAGGTCGTTCCTAAACAAACGAAGCGCCGGGAAGCGCCGGCAAAGGGGAAGTGGGGGAGGAGTGTCAAAGGGGTTCGGGGTGGTTTGGGTGGTTTGGGTGGTTTTGGGTGGTTTTTGGGTGGTTTGGGTGGTTTGGGGGGTTTCGGGGGTTTGTTGATTTAGCGTTTACAGTGGTTGAGGATAGTTTAGGGTGGGTCTGCTTTCTTTTGAGGACTACCATTGTTGTGGTTTTAAAGGGAATCCAACAAGGAACTCCGATGCCTTTTTTTGTTTGGAGAGAGGGAACCTGCAAAATTGGCACACCTGTTCAGGGCTGATGGTTTCTGCCCAAGGAAGGGAACATGTCAAGGGGGTTCTGGGGCGGGGAAATCCGCACATGCCAAAGTGTCCTGAATGGCTGCGGGAAGTAGGCACTCGAATGGGGGGCCGTCCCTCAGTCACTGGTCCTGCAAAGTCCGCTGGACGTCATGGAACCCCAAAAGCGGACACATTTCTCGCGGGGCGAAGTGCTCCATGCCTGAAGCAGCGTAGGTTGAATTGTTTTCCCCCTGCTCACACGCTCGTAGATATTTGGCCGCCTGAACAAAAATCCAATCAGATGAGCTCAACTGTCACCAGTACTGGCCATTCTTTTCTCCTTGTGGCTAACACGATGGCTCGGAACTGGGTGAGTGCCTCCGGACGACGCAAGTCGGAGGGGGGGTCGAAATAAAACCTCCGTGAACACTCTGCGGGGGTCTCATGTTATTACTTGCGTGTCCCAGCTTCCCTTTGAACCAGGTAACTTACAAGAAGGCCCAACTACAGGACTCAAATGGCCGGTGGATTCCGGTGTCGGAACCGGGCTTCCAGCGCAAGACTCAAGCTGTTTTGGTCGCCCATTGGTTCCTTCGGCTTCAAAAGGAGACCACAAGAAAGCCAAGCTGGATGTTGAGACAAACCCAAGTTGATGCCTCGAGCCCACAGTGCAAGGGGTGTCAAAAACTGGCGACCTCCTCTTGGATGAAGGAAACCGAGGACCAGTCGGCCCAGTCTAGGGACCCCAAAACACCCCTGAGCATCCCAAAAAGCTACGTAGGGAACTCGCAAACATCTATGAGGGAACATCCAATGGGCATCGCCGCATCGGCACCGCCGCAAAAATCGGCCTCGACGATCCCGGGGCCCTGGCTGCATGAACTCGCCCTCGAAACAGGAGCCATCCGCCCACTGGAACTTGCCCTGGCCTTCGCACGCTCGAACGGCGAGGGGGGTGTTCCGAAGATGTCAACGCTGGGACCGGGGTCACATTGCCATCCGGATGGGGCAAAGCAGAGGGGATGAAACGAACAGGGGTCTACGATCGTGATACAGGTGTCTTTCTGTACCCCTTTTGGGGGTGTATGTCGCCCTTAGGTTTTGGGACAAACATGGACAAACCAATCAAAACCTAGTCTGATATCATAGGCTGCTGGGTTGGCCCACCTCTGGCCGTGCTTGTGTTGGGCATCATTTTGGCCCACCTTTAGAGACCAATCTCAGGGAATACGTCCGGCATGCCTTGAAAGGCATCTTGAGGAAAACAACAATTTCCGTGCCTTCAGTCTTGGGTAAGGTAGCCATAAAAGGACAACAACGGAGTGGGTTGCTGCTTTTCCCACCAAGCAAACAAAAGTGCATAACTTGATATTCAAGTCACCGCCATTGGTTCATCTCACTGAAAATTTGGGCTACATGCCTGAGGCGCGGGCCGTGCTTGTAGCCGGCCTTGTACTGACCTTGGAAGGTCGCCCCGTCCGGCCAGCACTCCTTGCCTGCGCGTGGACGAGCGGCGCAACCCGGGCCACTGCGATGCGGGCCCCGACAGCTGGACAGCCCCATGGAGGCTTCGAGGTCTGAGCATCTTTCCGAGGGAAGTTGGGGCCGATTTTGAGGAACACAAGACCAAGGGCCCGAAGGGAGCAGTACGAAAGAAACCAAAAGGAAACCGTCGATCTTGGAGGGTCGATTTGAACAAATCAGTGTTGGCGAGTGTTCACTCTGCCTTTCTCTCATTTGGATTCCGCGAAAGGAAGCAACGTTCAGGAACTGTCTCTGGTTCTTCCACCGGCACATCCTGAGCCCGACCTCAGCATGGGGTCAGCGCCCAAACGCAGAGGTCTTGGTCGCTACAATTTTGCCCGGATTCTCTGGGCGCAATGCAAAGAACCAAGCATCAAACATTCCAGCTTAACAGGGATCCTCACATCATACACCTAAACATTGCCTTGTCAATGGTGGTTTCCCCTTATTTTGGTGGAAAAAGCCATGTTCCAAATGGGCAAAATGTATCTTTTAAGGAGCCCTTCTTGACTTGAGTGCGTTTTGGCGTGACTTCGGACAAGACTCGTCTATTTGTCCCCTTCTTTGGCCGGTAGATGCTGCAAGGGACGCCCTACAGGAAGACAAACAGGACCTGGGCGGATTGCTAAGAAAAGGGACCCCTTTCTGGAGGTCCAGAACTTTTCTTCTGCAATGGACTGAGTGGTGGAAGAGGAGCCAACCCGGTCTCTTTTCTTGCGCACTCACAAAGAGCGTGCCAGTCATGATAATTTGTTCTTTCAACCAACGCAATGGCCTCTCATAGTGGCTGGACCTCTGAATTGCAATGAATAGATTCAAACACGAGAAAATTCACAAGTACCCTAAATAAAAGTCGAAAGTTCTATCCCACACTAAAAGCCAAAGCTCATGCCAGGCACTTCGAAAGGTTGGACAAGGCGTGGAAAGCGACAATGGATCCATTTACCTAAATAGTCTACAATTTGCGGAATCCAGGAGCCTATGGGTGTCGTTTGTTGAGGGAACCAACGCCTTTTCTGTGTGTTTTCTGTTTTTCCTGCGGATCCGGTCCGATTCCTAAACAAAAGACACACCCAGCTCCCCTCAGGGCCTTCGCCGTCCTGCTTGTCGAAGGCGAACTGGCCCTGATGGCTTCGGGACCCAAACCAAAGGGCAACTGGACATATATATATATATATATCTGTGTTACGCCCACCCTGGTTTGGTGCGGTTGACCTGCAATTGTGTGTGCAGGGTGTTATGCCTTTCTTTGCTTCCTGGGTTAATGTATATATATATATATATATGCAACCCCCCCCCCCCATGGACCCTGGTTTTACTGCCTTTTGGGGATGGCAAATCTAGAATTTCCAAATTTATATTCTCGAAATTTCCAATTGTGGGTCCGCAAAGCGTGATAATTTGGAGCCCCGAGTCCTCCACAATGTCCCAGTATGATGCTCTTTGCACATAAGATGTTACTTCAACTAGAATTGGAATTTTGAATATAGTTTAGTATGGATATAGTTTTCACAAACGTGTTTATGTTCAATTACAGCTGAAACAAGCAAATCCTTTCCAAATAGCAGCTACATGAAAATGTAAATATATATTTTCGGCTAAACTCCAACTAATCTATAACACAAGAAGTTAGATGGAAGTTGTTTCCCAAATATAATCCAAGTGGTAAGTATAATCTAAGACGAACACAACTCAATTTGCTTTTGATAATATCAAGTGAATAGAGACTACATCTAACATATAATTCATATTAAATATGGCTATAAACATTTGGAAATTTAAAATAGGATTTGTGTTGTTTACATTCTGGCCCTTTTGTAGCATAAGAAAGGTCCGACATTGAACTTGTTAGACGGTGTTCCAAAGGTAAATTTCAAGGGAAGAGAGGTTCAAAATCTAAAACTATCTCGAAACAGGGATTCTAGCTAAACCGTTGTATTTAAAGTTCTATTTGCGCAGGAAAGTTAATTCTATGTCAAAAGGTGGAGGTAGTAGATGAGCAAATGTGGACAGGTAGTTGAAGAGGGTGGGGGACGGTGTGTGAACGTACATACATATGTATATCTATATATACACATACATACACACATATATAGTACCCCCAATGATCCTGCGCCTCCTCATAAAATACTGGAAAATGCAGTATTTTTGAGCGTTGCACCTGCCTTTGTGTACCTCCTGGAAAGGGGTCAACATGAGCATAGCTGACATGAAGCTCACCAAAACCACTTGACAGTGTGTCTAACCAATAACTTGAAAGTGTGTCCACTGGATCGCTAAGCACTTGAACATTTGCTACTATCGGATGGAAGATTCAATATTGAAGATTACACACTTTCCTGAGAATTGTCAATCCTGGCCAAACCCAAATAGCATTCAAGTTCTTCTAACACTTGAAAGTGCTTTACCACTGGATTGGGGATCAATATTGAGGAGCCCACAAACCACCACTTTCCTGAGAATCATCCATCCTGGTCAACCCCTAAAATGTTCAAGTTGTTCTATCACCTCGAACATCCGTTACCACTGGATTGAACTATTTCACGGAAAACTTTTCCGAGAATCTTATTGAACACCGAGAGTATTGGGACAACCCTGGAATTTTTAAAACTTTTTAAAAATTATGGGATTCAAGATTCAAGATTCAAGATTCCCAGAAAATATTTATTACACACTTTCCTGAGAATTGTCAATCCTGGCCAAACCCAAATAGCATTCAAGTTCTTCTAACACTTGAAAGTGCTTTACCACTGGATTGGGGATTCAATATTGAGGAGCCCACAAACCACCACTTTCCTGAGAATCATCCATCCTGGTCAACCCCTAAAATGTTCAAGTTGTTCTATCACCTCGAACATCCGTTACCACTGGATTGAACTATTTCACGGAAAACTTTTCCGAGAATCTTATTGAACACCGAGAGTATTGGGACAACCCTGGAATTTTTAAAACTTTTTAAAAATTATGGGATTCAAGATTCAAGATTCAAGATTCCCAGAAAATATTTTCTCAGATTCTTGAATCTTGAATCTTGAATCCATTTTTTTTTAATAATTTTTAAAAATTCTGGGATTCAAGATTCAAGATTCAAGATTCCCAGAAAATATTTTCTCACATTCTTGAATCTTGAATCTTGAATCCCAGAATTTTTAATAATTTTTAAAAATGTCTGAGTTGTTCTTGTATTCTTGGATGCATTCAAACTCTTTCAGATTGCAGGTGCTGATGTCATTGCTTTTATCACAGCAGTATGCATGCATGCGTATCATATACATGTACGACCCTCCCCCAATTTTGACACAAATCCAAGAAGCAAAAATAAGCATAAAACACTGGAAAATACAGGTCAACCGCACCAAACCAGGGTCCATGGGGGGGGGGTACCATATATATATATATATGTATATATATATATATGTATATATATATATATATGTACGTCCTGTTGTATAGAGGCGATATAGTGGCACGCCCGCATTGGCTTTGAGTTTTGGGGAAAGTCCCAAACACCTTGGATCCACACATACGAAAGTCCACAAAGCACCTTGTCCAGAAGGAAAAACAAGGCCAGCCTTCCAAAGCGCTTTGGGCTGCTCCATTTAGCCCTTGGAATTTGGTGCCATTGGAAACAGCTGGCTGTGGGTCAGTACCTGAAATTGGTGGTGAATTCAGCTACCCCAAAATGGGATTCCATTGGTTTTGACAACCACTGCCAAATTCTGCCTTTGGGAGGGTGCCATTGGAAACAGGTGCCCAGCGCGCAAATGCAACACATTCACGCTGCGCTTGAAGTGAACATACGGAAATCCACTGGCCCCTTTCGTTGGATGTGTCTGCCAGCGTCCTTGCGGAAACCAAACTTTTGCCCTGTAGAAGGTCATTGGCACATGTATGTTTATGTTATTTTGTTCAAATAAACAATAACAATGTTCAACATGCCCAGCTTATTAAACAAACATGCATGATTGACACTTGTTGTAAAACAACACAACCAACATCATGTACATGCCCAGCTTCTTAAACACAGCTTCACTCGGTTGCTTTCTGCTCCCCTGCTAAAAGTTACCTGTTAGTGGTATCATTCAGAAAACCCATCAGTTGCCAAACAGTTAAAATCCTAACATCCCTTGGCAAAATGCACCAAAGAAAACACCTCAGAATGGAGCACCTCAATCCACCAAACTTCCCCTTCCCCTGATCCAAAAGCCGCACCAAAGTTTCACCATCGACCTTCCGCTCTTTCCGATCTCCGACCTCGTAGCGGGACCCGTCCACGTGGAGGTAGAGTCCGTGGCCGTGGGCCTGATCCTGTGGGACCAATTGGAGCCCAGGTGTGGCTCCTTGTTCACTAAAAAAAGATCGGCACCGGCACCCTTTTTTGGTTGAGTTTAAAGGGGAACCCTTACCCAAAAAAAGGAGAAAAAAGGGCACCACTGGGCAACAGAGTGTTGAAACATGTGGCTGTGGTTGTCAAAACCGTGTTGGTACCATTTTCGGGTAGGTGCACCACCCGTTTTAGAACCTATCTTAGCGGGGAGTGGGATGTTCAGTGGGGGTACTGGTCATGTGAATTCCCACCCCCCTCCCCCCCCTCCCAAAAAAGGAGGAAGGCTTGCCGGATGGATGGGATGGGCTGATTGGATGGGATGGGATGGATGAGATGGGATGGGATGGGCTGGGGTTGGGATGGGCTGGGCTGGATGGATGGCTGATTCGAATTCGAACGCTCCCAGCAATGTCAGGGATGACAATTATTGTCAAGTGTTCCGAAAACTAGCGTGTCCTTGACTGGACATGACTGGATTGACAAAGCTGCAGGTTTCCTCGTATCCAGTAAGGGAGAAAGGACAACCAGGGTAGTTGAAATGGACAGATTCCTTGGAGAACCCAACTCAACTTCTCACTTGTGGTGAAAACAACGGCCCTTCTTTGGGTCAGTTGATTTGGGTCGCAGCTTCCTTCTTGATGGTTTGGAGGTGCAGAGCTTCGGTGATTTACCATTTAGCCTCTACACGAAGGGAGTGAAATCCCCAACCACAAAACCGCCAACTAAGGGCTACCCGAAAATAAGACCTCACCAACAAAAGATTCCCATCAACCAGCGGTCTGAAAGAAGGGTGACCTTCTCAACAAACATACCAGTTGCAAGCAGTGATCCTGGAAGAAAAAGGGAACCATGTCCTTCTTGGTGTTGAAAATCTTTGGCGGGGAAAGAACACGAGCTTGGTTGAAGCAATTCACAAAACAATTGCATGGGGACGAGTCCTAAAAAACCGGTCTGCGTTCTTGTGTTGTTGTGGGGAGAAGCCCATGAGACACAAATGTGGGGCATAGTGATACTGTAGCTGGGGGGGATGCGTGTGTTAGATCTCATTCAATCCTCTATCCTTGATTTCATTCGATGTTAGTTTTATGTTACACTATCGGCTCCGGGTTGGATGCTTGCCGAGAGCATGTTGGGTTATCAACTTCGAGATCCGTTTGATGTTTTATGATGTGTTCAAACGACATGTTTTTCAAGGGACCCACAACTTCAAGAATCTCTGTCGTTAGCGTTTGTCTTTGTGGCATGCTGTCCCCATTGGCAGCTAAACAGCAGAACATGCGGCAGATGGGAAGGCAGGTGGGAAGGCAGGTGGGAAGGCAGGTGGGAGGGCAGGTGGGAGGAGATGGCATGGATGGGAGGAGACGGGTGAAGCTTCAATGCTTGTCCGTCGCAGAACCCGTCCAGCACCAGCGCACATCCAGTTTTAGATCGCAAATCGCAAACCCGGTTCTCGTGGTGTAAGGGTCACTTGTTGCACTTCCTTCTCCCCCCCCCACAAAAAAGAAAAGAAGAGGGGAAACACTTGCTTTTTTTTAAAAGACAAACAAGGTGGACAACCAAAATTGAGCCCCATGTGTCCACCGCATAAGCCACAAGGATTCCTTTCAAGGGGGTCCCTCGTATGCTCAAAAGCTATGGATGGTGGAGCCCAGGCCTGCATAAACAAGGCCCTGGTTGAGTTTATGTGTTCGGCACATGCAAGAGGAACTTGTCGGTTTAGGACAAACTGAGGTCAAGGCGATCCGGGCCAATTTCTACGCATTTGATTTGGTGTTCCCTGTTCATTCGCCAACTTCACTGATTCACTCCGCCAGGTTCACTGATTCGCCACGAATGGGCAGCTTTCAATCTGTAGATCAATCCTTGACTTGCTCCATTCTACTTGGGCCAACACAAACATATTCCATTCCCTTTTGGCTCCCTTTTGGGGGAAACTCGAACAAAACGAACAAAAACGCAAAATCCGACGAAGTCTCTCCCGTCGCCCGGAGAAAACCCGAACAAAACCGAGAAAGGCGCCGCCGCGCGCCTCGAACCACCCGCCCTCGTAGACGTCGCCGTCCGGGTGCTCGTAGCGGCCCCTGCCGTGCGCCTTGCCCTGGACCTGACAGCTCGTCTGGAGCGAGCCCCGAAGGGGACTCATGTGCGCCTTCGGCGGTTCCCAAACGGCTATGGCCATGGCTTTGTTCCCGAGCCAACTTTTCAAGTGGGGGACAACTTTTCAGGTGAGCTGTTTGGAGATGTGGTGCCCGGGCAGTTGCATGTCTTACCTCCACACCTACCCAAACTGACAATACCTCTAATTCATTCCCAACACCCCGGTTGATTCCCTGACGCTTCTGGCGACCTAATCCTAACCTGCCCGGGATGAAGTTTTGGCCTACCCTGAGCAAGTGTGAAGCACGGCCCCAAGGGCAGTTTCAATGCTACTGTGGATGGACAAAATCCATTTCGCACCACCTAAGAAGCCATGAAAAACCACTGCTTGTGGGTAATTACAGGGAATCAGACCATTCCAGGATTCTTAGGTGGTGCAGGATTTCGTCCACCCACAGTATGGGTGGAATCGAATCGGAACAAGCAAGTTAAGTTCGTGCCCATCGGATGCCGCCCAGTCGCCCACTGGCCGGTGTAGCGGCCGCCATCCAGCCAAACCTGGCATGTGCGGGAAAGACCTTCCTTTGGCTTTCCTTCGCCGTGCAACCAGACAAAAACAACATGTATCTCGCGGAGCTAATATGACGGGCCTAAATCTGGGCCTCTGTTAGTCATGATGACCCGGGTGTGGAAGTCACAAGATAAGTGGCTGTTTGCTGATTGGTTTCCTGTTGGCTTGTCTACCTTCCGACGTCCAACAAAGGGTTGGTCACAAGAAGGGAACAACCCAAAAACACGGTTGCTGTGAGTTCAGGGGTCGCCTGCAACAGGATCAGCTATAATTACTTCCTGCACGGACTTGCCTCCACAACTCCAAACACTGCGAAGAAGTGAGAATAATTATTTGGCAGTGGCTCAAAAAACCGGTACCAAAATGGAACCTTGGCAAGTGGAAAGAAACATGGACCAAAACCCGCGTAACCCCTACTGTTTAATGTTGAGCCACAGCCATTTGTCTCTCCTCCAAACATCCAGGACACAAAAAAGTTGGAACATTTCGTTTATGCGCCAAGTTTTTCTGGCACACACACACACACACTCACTGTCACAAGCCCCCGCGGCCCCTTTTGGCCGCGAATCGAATCGATGAATCGATGAATGAGCCCTCGCCTGAGTGCCGCTCCCGTGCTTCACCTCCCCGGCCCACTCGCCGGTGTAGACGGAGCCATCGGTGAAGGTGTGCTGAGGCCGCCTCGGCCCCTGGGCATCGATCGACACGAACGCGCCGGGTGCTCGCGGATGACCTGAACGCGAGCCACGAGGAACTCCATGGGCTCCAAAGTCACGTTGAAAACGCCAACGGAGAGAGGGGAATAAGATATTTAAGGAGTCCTGAGGCTTTGCCACCCCCCCCATTCGTGAAAACGCTCGTTCCATGTGAACACTCCTTTGCCCAAAAGCAAACCATTTTTGAAGAACAGAACCTCCTTTTGGACATTCTACCCTTTTGGGCTGTGAGTTCTGTGTACTGGAATTCGCAGTTGGTCTCTTGAATGACGCTCTCGGGATCATGGGCTGGGAGAAGTCACACGAGCGCTAGATGCAAACTGTTCATCCAGACAGCTCGATTGTCCGCAAGTTGAGCTCGTTGCAAGTTGCGACTAGTGCAGTTGGGTTCTCTGAATCAAGGGCAAGAATTACGTTGGGTGCCCCAAAACGTTTACCCCATGTATGCTCCTGTATGTAGCACAGTCATGTCCCTGCAAAAATAATGGTTTGCTTCCCTTCGGTTTGGCGCAATTCACAATGAATCTAAAACTGGAATTTCTGGTTTGCCCCCCCCCCCCCGCCCACGGGTACAGTCGTCAAACGTGATGCATGTTTTTCGCCTTGGAACCTGGCAGGAAACATCCCCCCACAAACTAGTCGCCATGTATAGAAATCTGGGGCCGACGTTAGGAACATCGCCACTACTCAGTTGCTCAACCCCAAACCCCAAACTCAGCCAGTTCCAGCAAGCGGCTAAAAAAGCAGGCGGTTGCGGGATACCCTAAACCCAAACTGATGATCATGACGTGTGTAATCATGTAGCCTCATCCCTTCCAAAGGAAACCACGGTCTGGTTGTTCAACCCCATTTTGCTTAACCCTGTCTCCTAGATAGTGGGGTTTTCACGCCGACTTCCGCCTTGTCCTCCCTCGCCAGCTCTGTTACCGTCTGCGGGGTGTCATTGCAGGAACACGACGTGCCCTGGCAAACGACGGAGAAAAATGACTTCTCGACCTTTGGTGGGGGTCGGATACTATGCAACCGAATTGTGTGTCAAGCGCCAACGCCTGTATAAACTAAAAGCATAGGACTCCGGCAACCGGCGACCATGGCCAACACAAAAGCAACACGACTGGCTCTGTGACGTGGCCATTTGGGCACTGTCTCAGCTTCAAGCAAGTCCTGCGCGTATCATGGAGTGGTTCTTAAACATCTAGGAACCCAAAAAGCACACCATAACTCGGTTGCTTTCTGCTCGCCTGCTAAAAGGTTAACTTTTAGTGGTTTCATTCGGAAACCCATTTGTTGGCAAAAAGTTAAAGTCCTAACATCCCTTGGCAAAATGCACCAAAGATAAATACCTGTTTCAGGACAGGTGTTCAGGTGTTTCAGGACTCCAGGTGTTTGAGGACGTGGTTCCATGGCGATGCAAGGAAAACCCACGGGTGAGCGGTCAGCCGGCAGCGGACTGGACTGGAACGACTGGGGGCTATTTAGCGCTGTCCCGTTTTCCACTTGTTCGGTTGGACAAGAATGAGCTCTTAAAATCAACACGTTTGCCGGGTAGTCAGTTTCAACCAAGCACACGAACAAACAAGGCCGGCGCACCTTCCCAAAGAAATCAACAAGTACACTACCTGCAAATTCATGATTGACCACATAAAATATGTAGTCAGTCGAGCAATGAAGCACCTCCCTTGGATCTGGGGAACTCTGTTGATGTTTCTTTACGCCCCCCGATACATATCCCGCGGGAGGTGGCTATGCATCAGGGTAAGCATGGGAGAAAGGGGCAAACATGACTGCAAGGGAGTGGAATCGATTGCACTCTTCCCTAGCATGGAAGGATCCTTTTGCGAACTTATTGGCCTCTTGTCGGAAATAGTTGGAATGTTTGTTCCCGTATCCTCAAATCGATCTGGTAACAAGCAAGAGGGGGTTCTCCATTTGCAGAGGTCATTACGTTTCCCACCCGCACATTGCAATCTCAGTTGGATTTTCTCTTCCAAATGGGAACTTGAAACTGCGATATTTCCTCTTCTTTTGATTCACCCTTTCAAAAGGGACTGCACCACCCGGTTCCGTGATACCACCGGAACACCTTCCCAATGACTTGATCTTCACTTGCCGGCGATAAACTTGCTGAGTACCGGTTCGTCAGACAATTCCCATAACCCTCAACGGGCATGTCTCAAAGTTAGATATTCCCAAAAGAGATGATTGCCCTTTTGGCCTGCCTTGAAACCCAAAAGGCGTGCAGGATCCCTATTTGAACACATCACCAACAATGCGGTAACTACCGGCCACCAGAAACCAACAAACCGTCGCCAGCCAGACCATGGCACGCTCATGTGCGCACAAAGGCCCGCACCTCTCCCACTTCACTCAGTTCTTCTAACGCGATCTATTCCTCAATGTGGGGAGATCGTTGATGGAGCAAAAAAACAAAAAGAGGAAAACGTGCTGATTGTGGCGTCCTGTTCCGAAACAAGAGGCGACGGCAGAGTTCATTGTTGATTGCCGGAATGCACAAAGCAATAGGAGAGTTGGACTGTTCTTCCCGGTCTGGGCTTGTCCTGCGCCGTGCTTGTCCTGTGAGAAGCTGCAAGCCGCGAGGCAAGTTGCAGCACGTCCAGGTATCTTTGCAGACACGTATTTTACGTACGGTACCGTACTGTGGGTACTGTATAGCCACGGTCAAGTTGCATGGAGCAAGTGATAAAAGGGGGAAGGGACCCCAATTAAACCTGCGACTGATGCTCCAATGCGGTATCCCAGCATGGCAGCCTGTTGCCAGCACCGATGAGGGCACTTGCTCTGGAAATGATGGTGCTTGAAGGAAAAACAAAAAGAAACCACCTTCGGGCCTCCACATTCCCACTTCACGTCAGTTCCAAATAAAACCTCGGTAGTATTATCGTGTCAAAGCGGGCCAAGTCTGTGTGTACCCCTAGGCAAGAACAAAAACATGTGGCTGTCAAAAGCATTTGGGTCGCCGCTGCAAACAGCACACATGTCGACTTGGACAGCTTCCCGAATATGCTGACTACCACCTGCACGGTGTCAAAGCTAGTTGGCCATCATCCTTGCTTGGCTCCCTTTCAACGTACTGCGTACAGCAACAGCCCAAATGGACCCCAGAAGCGCATGTTCAATTTTCGCTGCCAAGACATTCAAAGGTCAAACCGAGCGAAGCTTTCACCAACGTGACAACACTCCCCCAGAAGGAACTGACGGACTGGCCAGAATTGAAGCGTGCGTGGCCCGGGGCCAATAAAAGGAGCTGTGGGCCGCTGCAAAAAGAGCTTCCTGAGCCCCCTTCTCAGAGAAAAAAAACATGGAGGATGGATTTCACAAAAAAAAAAATACGGAGTTGAGGGGTCCAGTTTGGTCATGACACTAGGAATGCACTTCTGCAATTCCTTGGCCTGCATTGAGCGCGAGCACTTTTTTTCGCTTCAAAGCGGTTGCGGGCACTCGGTCGCCTGGGCGTGAGTTCAGTTACCAGCAACTCGTTGCCCTCTACACTCGGCTGCGCGGCATCTGAAATCAACCGACCCGCTGGAAACAAGTGTTCCGAGGACCTTCCCCAGAATTGCTTCAAAAAAGAACTGGCATTCACATCCCCCACCCCATTTGGAGGGCTACCTGACGGAGCCTGGAAAAAAACAAAAAACGGCCCTGATGACCTTTTAAAAGCAGAAGTGTTTGAGCTGCAGGCTCAAATGCGGCAAATCGGCCGCAGAAGCGGCCACTGAAAACACCTTACCCCAACCGTTCTAACCCTTTGCTCTAACCATTTGATTGAAAGCCCTGAAAAATGGTTGGGCATAAAGCTCCAAACACCGTCCAACGGGTTCTTCTGGGCACTTCAATCACCTTGCAGCCTGCAGCCGGGTTGTGCCAGCTCTGCATGCAAGCTGGCCACTTGAGGTCGACGGAAGGCCCATGGATCATTCCCCAACTGACAATGGCTTGTGGCGAACCCCCCATGTTCTAACGGTCATAATTGGTGAGTGTGCCCCATCTCATCCCCTTTACTACCCTGAATTACCGAATATGTATATATATACACATATTGATCATTGCTCTTGCCAACTTGCGATTGATTTGGAGGGCAACACGGTTAACATGAATGCATTCTGAAAAAGCGGAGCCACCCCTGCGTTGGTATAGTCATCCGAACTTGTCCGAATGAAGGTTTAGTGGGTTGGGACCATCCCCAATAATTGCAGTGGAGAGCTTCAATCAAACCTCGCAGAGGCACCGATGCCCCGCTCCTGTCGCGGTTGAGAAGCCAAATTCACCAGCGAACTACGCTCCCAGGTCGTTTCGGCTGGCGGTCCCCTTTGGGGCACCAGCAAAGTGAGGACCGGACCCCGAATTGGCCGTTTCAGAAGCCCAAACGGCCCCACGGCTCCAAGGCAGCACGTTCATCACGGAACGGAACCACTGGCTCAGTGTTCGGACACCCCCTAGTGTGGATGGACGAAATCCATTTCGCACCACCTAAGAAGCCATGGGAAACCGCTGTTTGTGGGTATTTACAGGGAATCAGACCATTCCAGGGTTTCTTAGGTGGTGCAGGATTTCGTCCATCCACAGCATCTCACCAGCGAATTCGTTGCAAACTGGAGGGTGCCAACCGGCAAACTTGGTCAACAGTAAGCCTTGCTCATGTTGGATCGAAATCGTTTCTACCATGTGTTTGGTAAGGGCAAAGCTATAGGGTGTTATCAAAACTTGACCCAGCAACAGCCATGGTTCTAGACTGGAGCTTGCTAGGTCTCTGATGCTTGACGCTAATACTTCCAAACCAGAAACAAGCCCAACGCGTGGCATCATCCAAGACACATCACAGTACAAACTCTGCACCACAAAACAGGCAAACACCTATGACATCTTCCCTGCCTGACTCTAGACTCTAGGCCCACCCCCCAAAAAACGACTGATGCCAGAACCGTTGTTGTTCCTCCGCCAAGAAACACTCAGAAAGACATTTTCGCGCGCCGTGCGCCTTGCGGAGGTCGGATCTACAGAGCCGAGACCCAGAGGAGCTGCTCAGAGGAGAGGAGCCGCGACATGCTCTTGGTCAGCACCTGCACTCTCCGCAATAGTCAAAATTCGGCCAGGATATGGACTGGTTTAGCCCATGTATCCATTTACACCAAGCCAGTTTGGGTTACCCGATGTTTTTTGACCCACTGCCATATGAATCTGACACCAATTTCGGCGAAACGGGTTCTCAAACGAATGGGTTTTTCTGCAACGAGAGACTTTCGCTCTGGGTCAGTCAAGTCAAACCTACCGGGTCTTCCGAATATGTGATTGGACGCCTCTTGGCTGGTCGCCTTGTGGCTTCTCTTGAAACTCCATCCAACAGGCACCGTCATTTCAGCACAGGCTCACTCACACCAAAAATCACAGCTCAAACCACTTTGAACTAAATGTCAAAGCACCAAAGTCACTCGAACAGTCAAGTATCAAGCAAGCAGCTCGCGCCGGAGCATCAGCCAGGAAGTTCATGCTTCTGTGATCCAGGAGCAGTCCTCCTCTTCCGAAAGAGGTAAGGATCCAAGAGCCGACAGCAACTTCTTTCCACCTATTGGGCCTGCTCCTCCCAGATGGATGTTCGCTTGTGGGCTCCCCGCTACCCTCAATTCATCTTGCAACTCGCCAAGGAGCGGGGCGGCATGGAAGAAACAACGCAGAATGTAATCTCTAGCAGTCGTGGGCATGAAGAAAGTTTCCAAGCACGACAGATGCTCCGGGTTCCAACTCCACAGGGCTGATCACATCCCTCGGAGAAATTCAGGGAGCAAAGATGCCACAGCCTCCAGTGCAATAGCTCTCCTTTCTTTCCTGAAGCTGACATCATCAAGTTTGGCACACTTACAGTAATCTCCTGTTGCTTGGATTCGCGAACCACCAATGACGATTGTGCGCTTTTCGAGGCAGTGGTTTCCTGGCCACTACTCTGAGCTTGAGAGCCGCCTTTGTCCTCCTTAGCTGGCTCAGTCTCCGCTGCTTCCTTTGCTGCCTTCAAGGCAGCTGCTGCAGCCTCGGCTTCTTCTTTGGCGGCTTTGTCTTTTGCCTTGGCCTCCTGCTCGGCAGCTCAAAGTCCTCCAGATCGCCAACTTCCCCCTGCAGTGCAAAGATCTTGCTGATGGAGTGGCCAAGGGCCCCCTGAAAAACACAGAGAGGACGCAAATGGCTAGGCCCGTCCCCACGCGCTCCCCCACTAGGAACGAATGTGCTCTCACTGCCCATACCGGCTATGAGCCAAAAGCTTGAGCCAAAATGGCAACAGAGCCACAGAAGGTGATGTGAATGCCACTTGTGTCACCGAAATGTTCGCTTTCGACCATGGGTGGACACCTGAGCAACGTCCAAAACCTCGGTGTTCATGTTGAACAAAGGCCGGCAAGGTGGCACAAGCAGATGTTGACTGAGCATTGTGTGTAATATTAACGAACTCCCTGTAAAAAGAGGTCACGCCCTTGATGAAGGTCGCTTACTTGCAGATGTCTTATTTCCGTTTTTGTGAATCATAATAATCGGTTCAGGGATTCAGTTGTTTAGGGGTGCTTCCAGACATCCGGCGAGGGCATCCCTGAAGCTCATGATGCGTGCCAGCAGCCAAATGGGCGTGTTCAGGGTATGGACACTTGGTTCATTTTGTTTGACCGCCTCAGGGATTCGAATTGGAAAGTGGGCCTCGCCTCACACATTGTTCACTGCAATACAAAGGTTTGCATTGCCCTTACTGATGGGCAAAATGAACATCGCTCCGGACTCGGGGAAAACAAAAAACCCTTACTAGAACCCCTCCCAGAAAGTGGCCCCATAAAAATGACCCCAGGGAGCCGCTCTTGGGGGGCCGTGGCCAAGCAGGCCGGAGGTTTTCGGGCGCTTGCGCTAAGGGTTGAGCGCCAGCCACGAAGAGCGTAGCCATGCCCACGGAGTCGTCCTCAGCTGGGAGGAAGAGGAGAAACGGGGCACCGAGCCAGTTGAAGTTCTGAAGGAAATGTTGACCTCCTGTTTCACCAAACAAGTCCTGAAGAACTTCCAGGTCCTATGGTTGTCAAGGGCCCCGCAAGCGGGCCTAATCTCAATAGGGGCTAGCGACTTGCATCTTGGTTCTTTGGCGGGGCGAGGGAGGTTTGGTGGTCCCTTTTTTGTGTTTTCTTTTTTTTTGTGGGGGGGGGGGGGGGGCTCACAAACAGTCTTTTTGTGAGAAAGTCATTTGTGAGGGTGGTTTAAAGGCAGGACACCTCACTCATGCCCAATCAACAAGGCTCTCTGCTGGACTGCCTGAATGTCCAACTTGGATCTTTGGGCGCCCTGTTCAGGTGCCCAACATCAGGTGCTCTGTTCAGGTGCCCTGAAAATA